TGTGCCCGTGCCACATTATAGGGACTGGTGCATTAGACAGAGTAATACGGCTGGAGGAATTCCAATTGCAGCACGGCCACGTCGTTCGGTTTAACGATTTCGTCGGACTTCAGAGAATACGGAGTGCTGCACAGAGAAGAGGAGCGAGCTTGTGTATAGACTGCTCCGTTGACATGTTTAAAGACCGTCATACATCTCACGGTTGGAGAGAATTGCACGTTGCCTTGGGCCGCGTGTAAATGTATCAATATTCATCCCGTCAATTTGACTACTGTAAAATACATGTAGTATTATGGAGAAGATTATTATGGAGAATTATAGTGTTATGCGGAAGCACATGATTGTTATCACCATATATAAGTTTAATACACCACCCGTATTATATGTTTTCTTACATTGTTGTTTCTATCTATGGATCCATTTAAATACGAATTAGTTAGAACATTCATCAAAATTATATTAAAAGAAAGAACTGTTTAAAAAAAGAAAAATTATATATACCTAATATCATTATTTAATATCAATATTTTTACAAAAATGTTTAGCAATTAATTTATAAAAAAATTAGAGAGTTCTTAAATAATTAATAATTATATGATATATGTATTACAAGAAATTTTAATATTCTATGAGCGCAGTTATGATTAGCCCTCAGTACTCACAAAGGGTTAGCATAACCCCTCCGATTTTCATAGTTCAGACGTTTTTTTCCGATCTTTTTTCATTTATTGCAAAATATCTTTTATGCTGCGACATTTTAGAAACTTTCTAATTAAAAAATTCTTTTTTTTTCTGTGTCTTTAAACGGTAGATTAAAAAAAAATTAGTTAAAATCGATTTACTACAATCTGAGATATAAGCAAAAGAAAACGCTGGGTTATAAATACCCGGATGTGGGTAGATAGGGACTTTTTTGAGATGTGGGTATTGAGGGTTAGATGTGTTTAGTTCCCATCACATTTCCTCAGTTGTTATCAGTTGTGCTCAGTTGTGTTTCACACTGGTGTTCACGGTCTTATACCTTTGTTCTAGCTACATTTGCTCTATCGAAGCAATGAAGGTCATTTTCGTGTAAAGAAGAAGACGGGCTTATACCATGATTTCAAGCCTCGAAATCGTGATATGAGTTCGTCTTCTTCTTCACACGAAAATAGCTCCCGTTCCTTCGACGGAACAGATATGGCTAGAACAAAGGTATAAGACCATGAACACCCGTAAAGCACAACTGAGCATAACTGAGGAACTGATGAAAATTGAACTGAACTGAACACAACTAATTTTAACCATATTCTTCCACCATGACCATAATTAACTACTCTCGATTTGGATCGATTTTGACGCCATATTGCTTTTTTGATTTCGTAGTTCATTGTACTATTAGATGATGCTAAAGTCAACGACAACTTTTTTTCAAGAGGATAGTTGACGCATCCTAGGGTCAAGACAGCACAGTTGAGGGGAACTTGATAATGAGCCTTACCAGAGATTTAGGGCGTATAAGACGCGAGAACAATTTCATACAGCGACAGTTGAAAGATTAAGTGAAATGAAGAAAATGTTCGATCATCAGAAATTGGAATTACGTCGATGTTTTGAAAAGAGGAAACGGCGTAATAAACAACGAATCCTTCAGCGACTATTATTATGATAAGATAATACTGGCCAGTAAAGTGTCGGTTGACGATGACGAATTTACGGATTTTATTATCAACGGGATTCTAGAGACGCAACTGCGTAACTGGGGGGGGAGAAAGATCATTATCAAATATCTCCTTCTTTGTCTTATTTGTCGGCTCGCCAGTTCACTATGTAAAACATAGGCTCCCTCCATTAGTATATGCTCTAATAACAACGGCATAATTGATAATCTAGACCAAGGCTCGGCACGATTTGCACTTCTCGGCCGATTTTCGACTGAATTCCGCTTTCCGCTGCTCTTCTTACTTCATCACTCCGCGCGCAGTCCAAATGTCGCTCGATCTTATGCACGTTGCTTCATTCTATTTTAGTTGATAGCCGACTGAGAGCAGAAAAACTTTCGGTTTCAACACAATCATTCTGAAACGCTAATAATAATGTATTTATATAGTAGAATAACGAGTTATTTAAAAAAATACTATTCCAACCTTAGGGTTATGCGATCAGCAGGCAATGATTTTAAAATGTTATATTTTTAAAAATATTTTTAATATTAAATAAATATTATAAATATATTTTAAAAACATCTGCTGATGGGATACCGTCATAAAGAATTATAACGTCATTATCAAATTGTTATTATAAAAAAATAACGGCAATAATAACGGCGTATAAGTAACATATTATTTGTTATCCCTGGTTTGTTAAAAAGTTATTACAAAACTTGTTTTACTTAATTACTTATTGTTTTAAAACTTGTTTTGTTAATAACTTTTTAATAAGTACCAAGGAAGATCAGTAATCTTGTAATTAACATCAAAATCAGTTAAAAATTATTTGGTAATTTTTAACTGTGTAATTGTGTAAAGAAAAATATTTATCTTTTAATCGGTATTTAATATCTAGACTAATAACTTTTTAACGAATAACTATTAAAACCTTCTGAAGGTTACTCAGGAAAATGCTTTTGATAATGTACTATATATAAAGATCAAGATCATCGTAGTTATTTTCCTAAAGTGAATAATTTTTTTTTTAAAGTCACCTCAAGATACTTGAATAATATGCAATTTTTCTTGACTTAATACTTAGCTAATATAAAATCCAACGATTATTAACGATTATGTGTAAGTGAAATTGTTCTCAAGACTCAACTATACATTGAGCCTATTGTAAAAAAGCTTCAAGCAATACTATAAAAAAAACATCTGAGTTTCTTATTTGAATCGTATTTACAAATGTGACGAATAACAAATACTATGATAAATCAAATAAACGATAGAGAACGCCAACATGGTCAAAGTTAGATGTTTCGAATAATACAAAATAAATAATAATATCTGAAATAAATTAATAATAATATCTGAAAAATAAATTGATTTATTAAATCAATTTATTTCAGATATGATTGCGCGCCAATAATTTTTCGGACTTTCAACATAATTTGAAACGATGATAATTATCTCTAAATTAAATTAGAAAAACTGTAAAGAACTTATTGCGAAAAATATTATCTCAGTTAGAGTTTGAACTCGGAATCTTTCAAATAAAAAAATTAATGCTCAAGATTTATCTAATAAATTACCTTCATGCTCAAGTATTTACATTTCGAGCGTCATGAGTTAGTCGAGCTGAACAAAACATGCTTATAAATACGGGTCTATCTATGCGAGTAAGCCAGAAAGGGAATAAAAAAGCTAGCGAGTAGTCATTTTCAAGTGTAAGAGGACAGTTTTTCACAAAGTAACACTACACGGTAGGAAAATATGTATTGATAGTATTTTAAATTTATTTGTACAGATTATGTATAGGGTAAGTCGGGGGAATAAGCCAGTTGGGGGAATATGCCACTCGTTATGTTTAACAATGATACCGATTAGCAGCGCTTACGTTAGTGACACAGAATTATTTACAATTGTGTGCTTAACGTGTTGCATAAGTATCAAGAATTTCCTTGCAACAGTATTGTTTTTATGAGCTAAATATGACGGCATGATATACGAAAATGTACTTCCTATAACTTTTATAGTGCTTTATGTAAGTTATTATTTAAATATTACACAATATTTATTTGCTCGATTAGTTTGTTAATCTATTAGTGTAGATTAAAATGAAAATATTCAGTACATCGTTGATTCATTTTCTTAACAGTCGTACTGTACAGGTTTATCATAAGATAAAATGATGTCTTGGGGCAATATGCCATTATTTTTGTTAGGGTAAAATGCCAGTATTCATTTTCTCTAATATATAGGTTAGGGAGCTATAAACAAACGTTTTGCCGCATAATTCCGTTGTGACAGGATATTCGTATTGACAAATACTTAATAAATAAACTTAAATGTTTATTTATTTGCTTATTATTGTATTATATTAATTTACTGCTCAATTCAAAATTCTGAATAGAGAATACAGTTTTTTAATCCATTTTAATGAATTGAATTTTCTTGATTACTGGAACTTAGACTACTTGTAACACTATGTAAATATAAAATAAAACAAATATTTATTTATACGTTTCATACTTATATATTACATACTTTTACTTTTAAAAATGATCCAAAATGTAATTGGATAATATCTAATTGTCGTAGTAAATGGATTCACGAGGACTGTTCGTAGAAAGATAAATCTATGCTATTAAAAATGTGTCTCAAAGTTTATTTTACATGTTGTATAACTTAATTTATCGAAGTTATTACTTATATCCTTATATTGTTTATATTACCTATATTATATTATAAATGTTTATTTTCATCACAAAAATCATTAATAATGTGTTCCTGCAATAAAAAAAAACAAAATAAATGTTATATATTTAGTATTTTTTTGTATGTGGCATATTACCCCCATGGCGGCATATTACCCATTTTTCAGCACTATCTTATTTCTTTATTTTTAATAACAAAAAATGAATATATTCGATTCCAATTATACACAAATAATAAATAAAGGATGGAAGAAAAAGATCAGTATGTAAAGTTATTTTAAATTGAACAAATAATTACTAAAAAATCTAATTTTGCTTAAGTGTGGCATATTCCCCCAACTTACCCTAATATTACGCAATCGCGTATGTAACACTCAATTATAAATATTTCGAAAACATCTTCCATAACAATTATCATGAGGTAAACAAATACTATTAAGAGAGAAAGATCAATTTTAAAATCTTTTGTAAGATCATATAACTTACGTGATTCATACATTTTCTATCAAAGAAATAGAAAAAATATATTTATTAAATTTTTTTATCTTTAGTATTTCAATACATGTTTTATTTAGAAAACGTGTTTAGACGAACTTATTTGTTTATAATTAAATAAATTCGTCAACTTTATCAAAACAACGATAAGATTTAATTCAAATACATATATTTAATATTTTGCAATACGTTCAATGCAAGATTTGAAGGAATCCGAAGCTGAAGAAAATCTGATTAGAACAGTCATTACAACAAGGATGCTTATTAGTACATTCTTATTACTTATTCTTATTATATATTTGATATACCATTATTATGTACAATATGGACCAATAGGACGACTTATTAATAATATACCAGGACCACCAGGTTATCCAATTATTGGTAATACATTACAATTACTAGTTTCAAGAGGTAAGTTAAAATTTTTAATACATTTCGATCAATTAATATTAGAAAATAAAACTATCACTATTATTAAATATTTTAAATAATATTGTTAAATAATTTTAACAATTGCATAATTTTATCAATACCCTTTTATAGACATGCACCGGATATCTGAAAAATATCCGACACTTTTTTACGGTATTATCCGGTACTTTTTTACGATCCAACCAGATAGTCAGATATCATTAGTATCCGAAAATATATCCGGTTGAGATTTTATATCATTAAATTGTTGATTTTTTATTATATAAATGTTCCATAGATAAGTATGTACATATACTTATAATGCTATACTATCTTAAACAAGTTGATTTAAAATAATTTTGTCCTTAAAGGGGCATATTTTTGGCGGTATTCTGAGATGATTTTTCCTTTATGAAAATTTTATTGGAAGCTTATTTTTTAAATTCCAAGAAGAAATAGCGTATCACGGGTCGCGTAAAAGAGACGGGCAGGAGCGGCGCTCACGGTTAGACGAGGACGCTTTACGCATGGGGTGCACATTGACCAGATGCATTCACACGTTTATAAAAACACGTTCCTTCTTCTTTCCCCTCTATCACATTATCTCTTTGTCTTTCATATACTTTAAATATTTCATTAAATTATAAATTAGAATGATGAAATTAAAATAAGCATTGAACTCTTTGAGTATTGGATTACATTTTAATTACATTGATAAAACTGTTAGAGAAATGTCGTAAAGGAGCGAACTTAGACAATAATTACGTGCGATAAGTATTATAAAACTGATATTGACATACAAATCATACAATTATTTCAATACGTCGAATTCTAAGAGTGTTTCATACAATTCGACGTACTGAGATACTATTAGACTTAATTGTATGGCAATAGACATCATAATACTTGTGGCACGCAATTATTGTCTAATTCCTCAATTTTACAAAAATTTCTCTAATAATTTTATCTGCGATATCGCGCTAGTAGTATTTATTACATATTTATGAGAAGTTTTATGAGAAACGCGATCGTGCTTTTTAGCATTCAAAGAGTTATGAATGTTTAAAACAAAAATGTAAGCCAAATACACTTTAAAAGCTTATTATTATCTCAATTATAAAATTATTATTACCTTGTAGAGGTTCAATATGATTCCATTTTGCTCTAGCTTCTTGAAACAGTTGGAGAAATAAGTTTGGATGCACCGTAAAAATGCTCGATACAACTATTTATTGTAATTCATTTTCATCACTCAAATATTAAATCTCTTTTAAGTACGTAGATATCTAGTCACACGTTTCCACGATGAGATTCTTCTTTTATAAATTATGTCACGTTTCAACATATTGACACAATTCGATTACATTCACTTGACAACACGAGGAATTTATTAACCGGTTAATCAGTTAATCATTAACAATCACAAACGATTGATTATTCGGCGATTGAAAATAACACGAAACTTTAAAACACATGTATAAATCCGTACACAACAACACAACATGTGTTACGTGCGGCAAGCAGCTGACTGATTTTCTTGGTATAGGTGCAATGAGTGCATTCACGCATCACTGAGGCGCTGTGTAATCTGCACTCATAACCAAGAAAGTCAGTCAGCTGCTTGTCGCATGTAACACATGTTGCGTTGTTGTGTACGGACTTAGGTTGCGGTCAAAATCTCACTACAAATGCTTTGAAGCGTTTGGTTGACCAATTAGAAGAAAGAATTTTGCAAATTAACCAATCAAAAATTGCTTTAAAGCATTTGTAGCATCGCGTTGACCGTACCGTTAAGCCTTGTGTCCATGATGCTAGAAATTGGTCCGAGATCTCGAATGAAGAAAGAATTGACCAATCACAATGGTCTTGTGATCAAGTTGTTCAAATGTGATTTGTTAATTTTTTCTCTATCCGAGATCTCGGACCGATTTCTAGCATCATGGACATCGGGCTTTACACACGTGTTTTAAAGCTTCGTGTGATTTTCAATCGCCGAATATCAATCGTTCGTGATTGTCAGTGATTAACTGATTAATCAGCTAATAAATTCCTTGCGTTGTCAAGTTAATGTAATCGAATTGTGTCAATATGTTAAAACGTGAAAAAATTTATAAAAGAATCTCATCGTGGAAACGTGTGACTAGATATCTACGTACGGGGATGCTAAACCGATTACCCAACTCAATCAAGGTCGATAGTACAGACTCTTTTAATTCCAAATTCGATAATAGTGGTGACATCTTTGATTTAGTTTTTACATTATATTATATAATATATATCATTCTGTCTTACTCAAACGCATACGTCTGTTCTTATCTAACATATGCCAGCACCATCTATCGCAAGACCGCGCAACTACTGCTACGCGGAATTTCGGCTCTGTTGACAGTCCCAGTCTTCGCAAAGCATCAGTATACACGTATTTTCTATTCGGTGGAAATATTGCTTTTCTAGACTTTCAATCTTAGTTCTACAAACTCAGTATCGTTCGTTTCAATAATGTGACCTCAGCTGCACGCTTATTTTCAAGATATGGACTCTAAAACTCTTATATCAAGCAAATACATATCTGAGGTAACAGCTGTACGAGCCAAAAGTAAGTGAATTTTTAATTTTTTTTTCGATTTTCTCATAAAATCCAGTGCAGCTGAGGTCCTGTTGATGCGTACTATAATTTAAGTAATAATACTTTTGCAATCCGTACATCCAATACAGAGATTTTTCACCGAATAGGAATGTGGTAAAATAGGGAGCTTTAGCATCGCCTTAAGAGACATTAATATTTGAGTGATGGAAGTGAATTACAGTAAACAGTTATGTCGAGCATTATTACGGTGCATCTAAACTTATTTCTCCAACTGTTTCAAGAAGCAAGAGCAAAATGGAATCATTGAATATCTACAAGGTAATAACAATTTTATAATTGAGATAATAATAAGCTTTTAAAGTGTATTTAGCTTACATTTTTGTTTTAAACATTCATAACTCTTTGAATGCTAAAAAGCACGATCGCGTTTCTCATAAAACTTCTCATAAATATGTAATAAATACTACGAGCGCGATATCGCAGATAAAATTGTAGAGAAATTTTTGTAAAATTGAGGAATTAGATAATAATTGCGTGCCACAAGTATTATGATGCCTATTGTCATATAATTAAGTCTAACAAGTATTTCAGTACGTCGAATTGTATGAAACGCTCTTAGAATTCGACGTACTGAAATAATTGTATGATTTGTATGTCAATAAATTTATAATACTTATCGCATGTAATTATTGTCTAATTTTGCTCTTTTACGACATTTCTCTAACAATTTTATCAATGTAATTAGAATGTAATCCAATACTCAAAGAGTTCAATATCCATTTTAATTTCATTATTCTAATTTATAATTTAATGAAATTAGCATATTTAAAGTATGTGAAAGACAAAGAGATAGTGTGGTAGAGGGGAAAGAAGAAGACACGTGTTTTTATAAACGTGTGAATGCATCCGGTCAATGTGCACCCCATGCGTGAAGCGTCCGTGTCTAACTGTGAGCGCCGCTCCTGTCCATCTCCTATACGCGACCTGTGATACGCTAACTATTTCTTCTTATAATTTGAAAATTAAGTTTCGGACAAAATGTTCGTAAAGAAAAAATCGTCTCAGAATACGGTCAAGAATATGTCCCTTTAAGAATAAAAGGTTATTTTGAATCACTCTATATATTGTTGCAAAATTACAATTTTTTTCTCTACTCTCTAAATCTAAATCAGTGGATAATCACTGATATTAGTGCCAAATATGCCACTGGTAATCAGTGAATGAAATGTGAGATCCCTATCTAATGTTTATTATATGATCTAACTAACCTTGTTTTAGTGCATAAATTCAGTGAATGTAGTATTAGAAGATTGAAATTAACATGCAAATATCAGTATTTTAATTATACGAGTATAATGCTCAAAAACATGCTTTCTTTTTTGTTGAACTTCGCTGATTATCCGGTGCCAAGTATGCCACTAAGTAATTAGTGACTATCCACTGATTCAGATTTAGAGAGTACAGATTTTTTTTCTTTTTAGAAAATATTGTCCCGAAATCTCCGGTGAGATATCCGAAAAGTATCGGATATTCGATAAAAATTGTTTTCCTGGATATCCGACTGGATACCAGATATCCGATGTTACATTCTTTTTCGGATATCCGATATCCGGTATCCGGTAATTTTACGATCCGGTGCATTCCTACTCTTTTATAATATTTCATAAATTATTATTGTTTCTTTCCACTATACCTAAGTAAAACGGTATAAAATATAGATATTAGAAATATTAAGTAAAATTAATGTTACAATTTTCTATGTACTTATAATATTTATGTATTCGAAATACATGCATTTTTCAGAAGATCTTTGGAAGTTTCTAAAGGTTTTAAGTGACAAATACTCTATTTGGAAAATATGGTCATTCTATGAGTACTTAGTATCTATCAGACATCCCGATGATTTAGAGGTAATAAAACATTGTCCAATAAAATTTTTTTTCTTTGGTATATGTGGAGTGTCATTTCTTGAAGATTTTTAGCCGCTGGATTTGAATCCGTGTTTAGAAATATTATCCCAATTTTTTATCCCCTATATTATCTCACTTTTTCGGAAATGTGACATGATAGGCAAATTCTAAGGACAGTATTATTTTCAGCGTAAAAAAATATACAAATAATACTTCGGAAATAATACTTAGCAAACCAAAGACAAAGTCAATGACAGCAAAATATAACAAAAAATTCTGTGTATATTATTGTCAAACTGGAATTTTAGAAAAAATTTTTTCGTTTACTTACATTTGATAAAATAACACTCATGACGACTAATATTTTAAGAATAATGACCGTTTTAATATCTTAAGACATTGCATAAAATAATTTTGAAGTCAAGTAGTATTTAATTTAATACTTTTTATAATTTTGTAGATAATACTAAGTAGCACAAAGCATATCGATAAAAGTAGAATTTATAATGTATTACATCCTTGGTTCGGCACGGGTCTTCTCACCAGTGGAGGTAATTATATTAATCATTACTTCCTAAATACAACGATAACGAATCACTTTTAAAAATTAGTAACTAGTAACTATAAAAAGATACTTTTTATAAAAACGCGTTATTTTCATAAAGTAACGTTTCCAACTTTGTTAATTTTAATATTGAATTTAAAAGAGAGAAAGATTTCGCAATATATATAAGCATCATTTATATGCGAGTTTAATAGCGTTATATTATATAATTATGTGTTATCATTTTATTATTATTTTAGGTTCCAAATGGCAATCTCGGCGAAAAATATTAACATCTGCATTCCATTTCAATATATTACAACAGTTTGTTGAGATTTTGATCGAAGAAAGCGAGAACATGACGAAGTCTTTGAAAAATTCAGGAGGCACAGTTGTAAAAGATTTAGTACCATTCATTAGTGAACATACGTTGAACGCATTGTGCGGTATTGTAATCTGTGTATATCTATGTAAAAGTAGTTTTATTTTAAATAATTTTAGTAAACAACAGAAGATATAAACTTATATAAAATATAAATGTTGCAGTGAATTATATGTTACGATAATTATGAAGTTATCTAATTTTCATTAAGATATTTTTTAAATGTATAATTATATTACAATAATAGAACTTTTTTATAGAAACTACTATGGGCATCTCTCTAAAGGAAATGAATTCATATCAGCAACGGTATCGAAATGCAGTTTATGAGATGAATCGAATTATAATTTATAGGTAATATTCACAGGTTAAAATAACTTTTATATCTGTATGATACTTGGAGATATGAATTAATATTAAATCACACACACATACGCACGCACACACTTACGCACGCATGCACACACGAAGATAAATAATGAATCATACTTAATCTTATTTTTAATAATACTTTCATATGTGTTCTACTAAAATACAAAATACAAAATATATTTATATTACAAATATTGTTTCAAATAAAATTATTTCAAATACATTCTACCTAGCACTGCTAATAATGCATATAAATATTACATGCTTTCCTTTTTTGCAATTATTAAAATATTAATAAGTGATTAACAATTTAAGAGAAATCTTTTACAAAATAATACTATCATAATACTTAAAAACATGTATATAACATTTTATAACTATGATTTAGAATTATGAGGCAGTGGCTGAAAAACGATTGGATATTCTCGTTAACACCTAAAGGTAGAGAACAAGTAAAGGTCCTGAAGATATTGCACGAATTTACTGAAAGGGTGCGTAAAAATTTTATCTTCTTTAATAATTTTGAATCTTCTATTAAATAAAATCATTTTTTAAAAATGAAAAAAAATTTGATCTTTTATAAAAATTATTTTAATTTCTTTCGAAATATTAATAAAACAATTGGTAAATATTGGTAAACATATCCTTAGCGCATTTACACAAAGTATGAAAAGAAAACTAATATACGATATGTGTAGATTATTGCAGAAAGAAAAGTTTATCATAAACATAATAATGGGCAATACTTAAAAAACTTTGCTGAAGATGCAATTGTAGAGGCAGATGATGTAGATAATATTAAAAGTACGTAATACAAATACAGAAGTCATGGATGTCTTAACTTCTATCATTTAATATTAAAAATTATTACTGCATTGAAATTTAAATATTATCATATTTATACTATTAAGTAACATACACATTGCTGTGAATTACATTACTTCAATATTTGTAATTTAATTTAAATTTATTGTTATTTAGTAAAAACAATACAAAAAATGTACTTTATAAATTGGTATTTACATATTTATAAAATTTGATTTAGAACGAAAAAAAAGGCTCGCTATGTTGGATCTTTTAATACTGGCGTCTCAAGAAAATCTTTTGACCGATTTAGATATTAGAGAGGAAGTCGATACCTTTATGTTTGAGGTATGCATTTGGAACTTTTCTTTTTTCTTTAATTATGCGTTATCTAGGTAGGTATATATTAACGCAATATAATTACAGGGTCATGATACTACAGCAATGGGTATTTGTTTTGCTTTATCACTATTGGCTGAGCACGAAGACATACAGGTATTTTTCATTTAAATGAGTATTATGAAAAGTATTGAAAAGGAAAGAATAATTCCTTTAACTCAACAAAAATTTATTAAAATAGAAATAATAAAGAAATAATAAGTTCTTTGCAAGCCTGCATGCGTGTTTTTCGCGAATTGAGATCCTAAACTAAAGATTAAATTCCGACGAAATTGCTGTTTTATCAAATCAATGGGACTTACAAACATATGATTTATGTGACATTGATACATCACTATACTCTATACTATATCAATATTTTTCGTAAAGGATTTTCGTATCAAACACTAGTGTCTAAATCTAATTCTCTAAGAACGTTGTTTCTTTATATAATCTATTAGTCTCCAATTTCGTAAATAGAGAGAGAGAGAGAGAGAGAGAGAGAGAGAGAGAGAGAGAGAGAGAGAGAGAGAGAGAATATTATAAACAAATGTTGTCATGACTTGACAGCTTTAGACACCATATAAGAAATTATACTTAAAATCTTGATTTCAAAAATATTTTTTCGTTCTCGACATAAATTTCACACATAGGATTAGTATTAATACCTACATTTTTATTTTGGGTAAGGATTTCATAATCTGTAAAAGTAATGCGTACGAAAATCCTTTAAGAAAATTATTGCGCTTAATCGGTAAAACAGGAAATTTTAGTATTCCTTTAAATTGTTCTTTAATTATTTTAAATATACTCATACATATATAAATATTACATAAAATTGTATATTCAAAATTAAAATATATAATGTATACATATAACACATATATCTTTAAAAAAAAATGAAACAAAACTTCTTTAAAATTATAAAGAAATTGTACGAATGTATTTCTGTGTACGTGAAAGACATCATAAACATGAATAAAAAATGCTTAATTTAACATTAATACAGGATCGTGTTAGAAAAGAAGTTAATGCTATTATACAAGAAAATCAAGGAAAGCTTACTATGAAATCGCTGCAAGATCTACAATATTTAGAGAGATGTATAAAAGAAGCATTGCGTTTATATCCCAGTGTTTTTTTCATCTCACGAGTTACTTCGGATTATGTACAATTAAAAACACGTATGTAACTCAATCTATAAATATGTACATATATTTTTAAACATATGAATTGTGTCATTTAATATTATATTAATAAGAATATATAAAGTAATACGTTTATTTTTTTTTTATTGAATAAGATAAGATTTTTAAAAGCAACATTCCTAAAACTACTCTTGTTTTAAATCAACTAATAGAACAAAATATAATAATTAATAATATAATTCAGGCTCAAATGAATCTAAATTCAAAATTAATATACAAAATATCAGACTAAAAGAGACATTTAGACAATTGTTAATCGCTAAAATTATTATTCAAAATCAATACATATACATACCATTTCATACGACGTTTCGACTCTAAATGTGATCTTCGTCAGTAAAATTAATATTTGTCCTAAATTCTTAATCTTACTATTCAAATATATACAGGGTGTCTCAGAAAATGTGACCGAAACACAGTGGGGACATAGATTGAATCAAGGGGAACAAAACAGTTTTGTACCATTTTGCAGTTGACGCAATATTTAACGAGATATTAACGTTAAAGATAGGCGAATACGAGCGTCCGACCAGCCTACTGATCATGTACTGCTGCCGGCAGGACGGCCTACCGGGTATTCGCCTATCTTTAACGTTAATATCTCGTTAAATATTGCGTCAACTGCAAAATGGTACAAAACTGTTTTGTTCCCCTTGATCCAATCTAAGTCCCCACTGTGTTTCGGTCACATTTTCTGAGACACCCTGTATATATTACATGATAAAAAATAAGTTATTTTTCCTAGCTTTTATATATGCATTTTTGTTTGTAAATTATTAACTTTGATCTGTCTTAAGCTGTTTCGATAAATCTGGTACCTAGAGAGGAATCATTTAATTCTATTGCCAATGTGATATCAATTATCAACTTTCTTTGATGGGATCTATATTGTAAATTTTAAAATTATAATTAATTAAATTATAATTATACTTTATCTTAGGTCTCTCTCACAATCACCAAATCATCGTCCACATTATACGTTAGATAACAAAACATAACTAACAAGTAAATCTACCCAAGTATTACACTTCAATTTTAATAAGCTTTGAGTATGTTGTAATCTATAGATCAAAGTAGGAGACACGTATTTTTTTATACCCATACGGCCGTTAAGGAGGTGAAACACCCTCTTAAAAAAAAATCACGTCTATTAAGCTGGCACAGCCACTTCAGCACAATCGCAAATCGGAATTTTTTGCTCACTGTTTAAGTCGAAAAATTAGCCACACTACAAAAATCTTTTGACCTAGATTACAATATATTCAAAGCTTGTCAAAATCGGGATATAACACTTCGATAGGGGAAAGCAAGTCTAAAATGAAGAGATATGTAGAGGAGACCGGAGTAAGTTGTTACAGTTAGTTTTTTAGTTGCTACAGGTGGCAGCACATTTTTATGAATTTTTATATGTGATTCTTAGGATACTCTACAACTTCACTTACAATTAGTTTAGCCGCCATATTTAAACTTTAGAAGACGCTACGTATGTTTTCTTGATTTTTACTATTAAAAGTAAATATTTCATTGTACATGGTCTGTCCAAAAAGTATCGGGACTACATTCAAGAAAAAAAATGTATTGCATATATATGTACAATGAGTTAAAAATCTTCAAAATAACATCCTTCTGCATCAATACATTGTTGCCAGCGCTTCTGCCACTTGGTATGCCTCCTGGAAGTCTGCAACCGGAATCTCCTTCAGGCACTACGTCAAAGCCGCTTGCACTCTTTCCATCGTCCCGTAATGGTGTCCTTTTAGACTTTGTTTCATCCAAGGGAAGAGAAAGAAGTCTGGCGGGGTCAGGTCTGGACTAGGAGGCTGAGGCAGTGTTGTCATACTGTGCTTTGCCAGAAACTCCCTTACGCGACGTGTGACTCGGCGCATTGTCGTGATGGAGAATCCAGGTATCGGCGATCTCCCTATGAACGGATGGCAAGAGTCTCAGCACCGGACTTTTTCAGTTTCATGCAAAACTTGATTGCATATCGCTGTTCAATCGTACGTTGTATCAATTGATTGCTGACGACACTACAAAACAACTGTTCACACTAGAAGCGATCCACATTCTGCAAAGACTCAGAGGCAAGTGAGCTGGGTCGCGTCGTATACCTGAAATCTTTTACTAACATCCCTGCTCATGGAGACCATTCTGCACCCCTTCCCCTTGGCTAGAAAAAAATCGGTCCCGATACTTTTTGAACAGACCATGTATAAATCGCTTGTGTTATTGTATATATGTATAAGTTAGAAGTATGTAATTATTCTTTTGTATATTTCTTTTATATACATTTGATTATAATAACATATTTTATTTGAATCGATATATGTACTGGTCTTCAATCTGTATTTTTTTAAATTGAAAATGGAAGGTTGGGGCAAGTTGTTACAGTGTAACAACTTACCCCATTGAAAACAATTTTTTTTCTTTTACAGAATGATGCACAGATTTCTATAAATAGACTGTCTACTTCGTCTCCATGTTTGAAGACAATGCTGAGCAGCGCTCAGCCATATTTATGTTCACTCCACTCTCACATGTATAAATCACACGGATAATTACGTTAGTGTTTTCACATAAATTTATGCAATATTCACAGACAGAACGCATACATATGTGCATATGTGAACTGAAATAAGGCTAGTTCGGAATCAGGTTCTCTTTCTATCGAGTCAGCAATTTAATTATAAAAATCTGTGGAATGGTGTGATCTTACAAAAAAAATACAAACAGAAGATCTATAAATGTAGAAAAATATGCGACAGCGGCAAAGGAAGTTAAAAATGGCTACTTGTCTGTGAGAAAAGCAGCAAATGCGTTTAAGAGACATATACACAAATTAGAAAAAAATTAACTATCTAGAAACATTACTTTAAATACGAAGCGCCACTACGGTCTGAATGTTAAGATGTTGAACTATTATATATATTCATATTAAATTAATTAATTTCAGAAATTATAATTTAACTATCTAGTTAAGGATGTACTTGAAGCAATGTACAGATATTCATTAATTTAAATGTATACATTAGTACGGAAAAAAATTGCTAATCAAAAATTGTAACAACTTGCCCCAGTCTCCTCTATCCGGTTCAATATCACTTTGTTTGTTTAATCAATCCTGTTATCTTTTAATATGTACCACATTTCTCGATTTCCGATACCGATCTTCTTAGATATAAAGGTTCATTATCTAAACCTTGAATATTCTTCCAATCGAATTCATAATCAGAATAAAATATTCTTTTTTAAATATCGATCTTATATTTTCCAATAGATTGAGATTACCGCATTAACATTTCTATTAAGCTAATTGTACGTATCTAGCTTAAGTTAAATCGAACAGATGTTTATTTTTCAAATTTTAATGAAGCTTTCGATTAATATTTGTATATTGCGTTTTCTGCTTTCAGAGTCGTATTTACTACCTCCAAAAACGATGCTGCATCTTAATATCTACGGAGTCCATAGAGATCCCAATTTTTGGTCAAATCCAGAGATATTTGATCCAGATAGATTTTTGCCTGAGAAAATCCGAAATCGTCATCCTTATTCGTATTTACCATTCAGTGCTGGACCACGCAACTGCATCGGTAAATTGTATATTGATATTCTTTTATACATAAACAGGTTTCAATACATATCAAATTGTAGGTCAACGGTTTGCTTTGCTAGAGATGAAGGCAATAATAACCTCTTTGATTCATAATTTCTACTTGAAGCCCATTGATTATTTAAAAAATGTACGATTAGGAGCTGATTTAGTGATCCGGTCTATTGATCCACATCGCATACAATTTATTCCAGTTAAAACATAAACATTAAAAGATAATTTATATTTTAAGAATTTAATGATGTGCAAAAATAAAGAAAATTATCATATTATATGTTTATAAATATATGCGAATAAAAATAAACATTTCTATAAATATTAAACTTAAATAGTAATACATAGATTATAATATAAGTTAAATCTGTCTAAATTTATTAAGTGATAAAATTTTTTAATGTTATATTATACTGTTCAAAATAAAGGGTTATAAATTTTTATCTGAGAAACATGGCTTTATCGAGAAAAATTGTTTCGACAAAAGTTGTAGGGTTCAAAAAGGTCGACTTACTGATCTCAGTTTGACCTTGGATGGCGTCGTCAAGATTAGGTCAAGGTCATATCGACTTTTTTAAATATGACTTGCGTAACATACATATTTTCGGCTGTAAGACGCAGAACGCAGAACGCGAAAATTTAACTTCAGTGCATTTTGTGTTTATGTCCAGAGCCTATATGACGTATAATTAGGTTAGATTAGGTTCTAACCTTGCAACCACGTTCTGCGTACTATGAAGATCCAGCTTAATACATTTAAGTAACACTTTAAATAAAAATTGTATATACGTTTATTGTATTATTCAATAATTCAAGAATCGCATTTTTTTTATTGTATTACAATAAAAACCATGTATTTATCAGAATTTCTTGTCTTAATTAACTTTAATTGTTAGAGCAACTAATTCTTTACTCTCTATTCTACAATGAAGATTGCTAATGTAATAAGTTTCTTCATTATAGCAGCAAAAGTATGCGCTATCTTAGTTAGTATGTATTGTTACAAATGTTGACCTTTATAATAGATTCATTTTTTTCAGAAAGTTATCTTTGCTGTATTAACAAATTTGCTATGCTATTAGAACAAATATAATTAGTTACAATCTTTAATTTAATTCAGCTACACAAATTTGCTACTTTAACATAGAAAACTGGCTTTGCCTATATTATAGTTGTAGATTTGCTAAATCAATAAAGTTTTTAGCTGTTTTAGCAAATCTTTTTTTTCCGTGCGAGATAAAAATTTGTAACGTTTTATTTTGAACATCTAGTATATACACATTTTTATAAAAAGGTTTAATATCTAAGCATTTTATAACAAAAAATAAAATATGTAGTTAAGTAATTAATATTTATCGACGTCATACTTAATGTGTATATTATGTGAACAATAATTAAGTTAATTTTTTATAAAAGACATTGTAAAAGAAAATGAATAATTTATTTATTTTTAAGTTTGCAATGAAAATATTATACATAAGATTTATTGCATACTTTTATGTAATATTTGAATGTTATGTCGCTGCCTTATCATTATATTTCAATACAGTCTATACAATATCTCTTTAATCAGAACGATAACCTTCCTTTATCAACGTTGCTCTTATAAACACAAAAACACAATAGATATAAGTCTGATAAAAATGCTAGATATATAGCAATAAATAAGATATAAGAAGATTTATATTTTGATTAAATAATCAGTTACATTTGAAATGCATAAAAAATATACGTTTGTGTAATAAAGAACTATTAGCATATTTATAAAGTTAAAAATATAAAGTTTAAAAAATATTACATAATTACTTAATTAGAAACAATTCAAAAATATTTTTCATAGTACAACTGTTTCAGGTTATAAGTATTGTTAAACAAGAAGAAAATCAATATGTATATACGCTCTAGTTATGATTAAAACTTTTACATAAATAGAAATAAAGTAACGATAAATGTAACTATATAGTGAAATCGTTACAATTACCCCAAAAATTTAACTGCGTTACCATGAACGTTATTCAGAAGAAAATGTAACGTCGTTACTCAAACATTACCAAAAAAAGTAACATGTAACGGTAACGACGTTACAAGCAACTCTGATATAAATATATATTATCAATTTAGATAAAATTAATATACAGTGGCATGCAAAAGTTTTCGGCCAGTGACATCTTATACTTTAATTTATTTTAAAAAAACCTAATAAAATTGTAATTATTCTCAGGTGTTAGTACAAGATTTCGTTATCCACATCTTGTACTAACACCCGATAATGATTAAAATTTTATCAGGTTTCTTTTTAATAAATTAAAGTACAAAATGTCGCTAGCTGGAAACTTTTGCACGCCACTGTAGACTCTTCAATATTAAAACAAAATAATGAGCAAGTAGTTGGGGAAATAGGAGTCAGTGCGGAATTAAGATAAAAATGTAATGATAAAATAATCTTCATTAGCTTATGTATTCGTATCAGCCGTGATACAAGCCATTTGCGTCAGTGCGATTATATAGAGTGAACACCACATTGCGTTACATTTTTCGACGAAAAACTAGCTTTTGGATTATAATTACATACTATATAGGTATTAATAATTTAATGCGTTTGATTGTTTATCGTATTGGATTGACTATTGAATGCGAATGAACATAATCAGTTTTGATGAGTAACCATTAAATTCCGTTCTCTAACTATCAACGGCCGCTTATTTTAACAACATTATGTTTCGTTTCTTAGTTTTACTTTACGAAGGTTCCATGAAATTTTTTCCTCTGACCAGTAAACTACTAGGAACGCTGGAATCTTTTTGATAAGATGGTTGATCACATCGTGACTGTTGCATCCCCAGAGCACGTATAATCGAATACATTGCCGTTGATAATAACTAGAAGTATCTAAGTCGAAACGTGTCCGGATACATTGTGACGAGTAAAAAATCATTGTTATATGTAATGAATTAATGATGATCATTTTATCATTACATTTACGCACTTACTCTGGTTCATAAATCGAAATCAAATCAATATCGATTGATTTTTCGGACTGTTTGATTTGATATCGATTTTCTATTGATCTTCAAAGGAGATTGACATTTTATCAATGCTGCATCGATAAAATGTCGATTTTCTTTCGAAGATTAATAGAAAATCTAATAGATATCAAATCAAAAGAAAAATTAATAGACTTTAAATAGACTTGTAAACCTGGGATAATACCGCGCTGACTTCTATACTTCCCCATATATTTGTTCATTATATTATTAATATATTAACAATAGCGAAGGCTCATATACACTGAAAAAAATTTTGCAATATCTTACCCACACAGGTGTGTCCAAAATACATCTTAGAGATATTTTAAAGATATATTTGGGATATGTGATATCTTTAGGATATCTGTCTGATGTATTTAGGAAATTTCTGCTGATGGATAATAAATATTTTTTTGAATATTTGTAAGTAAACATTTACTTATACTAAATAAATATTTACTCAATGAAAAAAAAAGATAATTAAATCAAATTAATGGTTCTTGTATCAAATAAATATATATGTTAATATTTAATAAATATTTACTTACAAATATTCAAAGAAATATTTATTAAGATATATAGTAATTTTTTTTCAGTGTAGGCAATTTATTGGGCTGGCCAAAAAGTAGCATTCAAAAGTTGCATTCAAAAGTTCATTTTTAACGGCAAATTGACTATATATCTTAATAATTTATTGTTTAAGTTTGTTTTAGAAAAAAAAACGTACACGATTTCCTTAAGAATTGTTTATTTGGCGTTAATTTTAATACAGAAAATAAAAAAAACATTTTTGTCATATTTTACTTCCGAAACTATTACTTCCAAAAAAGAGAAAACGCTGTGCAAGCTCATAAAAAGTTATGTGTATGGTGAAGATATCTTAAAACTACAATAATGTCAAAATTGATTCGCAAAATTTCGATCTGGAGATTTTTATATTAAAGATGCACCATGCTCAGAGAGATCAATCAAAGTTGATGACAAAATAGAGGCATTGATCGACTCCAATCGCCATTTAACAACACGAGATATTGCTGAGAATCTTAATATACCTAAATCAAGTTGATTACTTAAAGCCGTTGAAAATCATTTAAAATAATTTGAATATAAATAAAGTTAGTTACATTACAAGAGATGTATTGCCAACTATTAGGAAAAAACGCAATTATTTTTTGATCAATCCAATGTACAAGCATACATTCGGCCTGAGAAAAAGCAGTATATAGTAGAAAAATAAGAAAATTTAAAAAAATTCCAATGTAGTACATAATTATGATACTAAGATGCTTCAAAAATGAAGCTTGGAATTGATATTTGAGAAATTTTTAATGCTGATTGAGTGAGATAATTAATTTTCCGTGGCGGATGATAGAGCAAGAATCTGCAAAAAATTGATAAATGGAAAGTCCAGTTTCTGGAGTTGCATTGAGTAAAGCAGTTGACATAACTCAATATATGATAAAAAGCATGTTAAAAGGATCCTAAAGTCGTCTGTATTACTGATTAATTATTGTATAACAAATACTTTTTTTCTCATTCACAGATTCGAAAATCCTTTTCCAGGATTGAAGTATATGCATTAAAATGTGTTTGTGAGGTGAAATTAATACCGAGAACGATAAAAAATTTCGAAATTGATTAATTTTTTATCATTTCTTAGTGTAACATAGCGTCTGAAGCTGTCATGTCGTGATAACATTTACTTGATACGAAAGTTTTGCAACCTGTACGAAATAGTAATCCACAACATGTAGTTTGTATGAACAAATAATATCGAGTTTTTAGAATTAGACTTATGGCGAATTCGGCACACACGCACTGATTCTGTTCTAGTGCTGCCTTGACATGATGCGAGTGCAGAACTACTTTAGTGCTATGACAAATTGCACTGTCAGAAATGTCAGTACAACATTTTTTGAACTCATTCAGTTTATTCGGTTGGTCCGAATATAAATTTAGCACTACACTGGATCAGTTTTCATTTGCCGAATACGATAATCTTAACGCACTGAGACAGTGTGCACAAACCGAATGCATGGCACTAAAAAAAGTTCTCACTCAGTGTACACTAGTGCTGTCTGTCAAATTCGCTCTTAGACGCTTTATCTCGAAGAATTTGTTATACGAAAATTGACACGAATATGCGATTGCGTATGTCATAGGTTGCATGAGATATTGGTGTGATAGTATATAAAGACATGTCAATGCACTGGAAAAACAGCGATTTCTGGTGACTTCGTCGAAGTTAGAGCTTTACTTTAGGATCCTCTTAAGTGTCCGAAAAGATACAAAATTTCCTATTCGAAATGCTTTATTCTAAAACTTGAGATGGTAATTTTTTACTAAATTAACAGAAAAAAAAGATTTTTTTATACTTTTTAAATAATGATAAATTGATTTGTAATACCGCTGTTATTAGGGAGTCTAATGCGTATTTCGAAATAAAATAAAAATTACAAAGTAATCAAATTCATTAAGTGTTCACCAATAAAATTAGAAATATTTTAGCAAACTTTCTCACTTTTTCACACTTTTTTTGTGTTTCAAGATACACAATATCAATTTAAATCGCTACCATTTTGTTCAAGGCATATCGTATTAATTGTTTGAAATTACATCCGTATGAGTGTGGTGTGAGTGTATACGCGCACGCCTATTTTTTTATTACAAAAAAGAAAAAAAATGAAATTTCTCAGTATGTGTATATGTTACGGGCAAAATCCACAAGTGGACAGTTCAGGATTGTTCGGGACGGGTTAACATTGCCCAACGCGATTGGGTTGGGCAATATTAACGCGGCCCGGGCAATGCTGATATTATACAGCATTAGGCAACTCGAACAATGTCAACACTGTCCACCGCGGACTTTGCCGCTGTAACATAACAAATCAATTCGGACTTTCCACAGTTGTATGTGTACGTAATGTGTATTTAGATAGGCTAGAGCTTGTTAAAATTGCCAATTCCAATTGGATTCAAGTAGCCTACTGTCTCCCTCTTATCTCTCACACGCACACGCACACGCAGATATATAATTTTAAATAACCAACTCGATATGTCTTGGACAGAATCGCAGTAGTTTAAACTGATAACGACAGCATTACAAATTACAATTTATCATTATTTCGTATACAATCTATTTTTATTCAGATTGATATAACTCAATGAAAAATTATCATATCGAGTTTCACACAATAGCACATTTTGAAGGGTAGACTTTGAACTTTCACGCGCTTTTTATTGGATTGAGCTACGTCAACTGCTTCTGTGCAACTCCAGAAACTGAAATTTCCATTTATCAATTTTGCAGATCCTCACTCTATCATCCGCCATTGAAAAATTAATCATCTCGTTCAATCGGCATTAAAAGTTTTTCAAAATATAGACTTCAAACTTCATTTTCATTTTTTAAGCATCTTTGTATCATAATTATTTACTGTGTTACAAGTATTTAAACTTTTCTAAATTTTTCCTAATTTTCTGTTATAGGTATCCCTTTTTCTTTGGCAGGGTGTATCCGATTTTTTTTGGAGAGTTACAACACTATTCTTATTTGAATTTGAATGCATTATATTCTATCTGCTATATATTTAAAAAAAATTATATCTGTTTAAACTTTCTTTATTGCTAAAACACTTTATTGACAATTAATATCTTTTACTTGTTACAAATATTTAGGACTCTGAAGGAACTTTGTAACAATTTGATTTGAACCAACTATCACGTATTTTAATATGCATGAATCAAATTAAGCAGAAAGTTGAAGAAAACTGACATTAATTAGATTGATAATCAGATCAACAATGATCGTTACCACACTGATACTATTTGTTGTTATCATATTGATGTATAATTATTACGTGCATTACGGACGAAATGGACGCCTTATTAACCTTATACCAGGACCATCAGGTTATCCAATTATTGGTCATGTACTGATATTACTAGGTTCACGAGGTAAATTGAAACTTTTAACATTTCCTTAAATTACCTAACTCTAAAATGTACAATTATTAATATTACCGTGTGTTTAATAATTACATAAAGTTATCAATATCTTTTTAAGTAATAACATTTGTTTTCTTAATTGTATAGTTATTTGTTCAATATCTACATCTCAATAAAACGGTTCAAATTATATGTACTGCGTACATAATTTGTATTTTACCTAAATTTTTTAGGTACATTAAAAAACAAACTGTGACAAGTAAGGAAATGTCATTACACAGAAAAAATAAATTCATTACATACATATGTACATATATATACATAACATATTACAAATATTAATATTTATCATTAAATTTTTCTAAATTAGTAACGTTTTTAAATTTACAATACATATATACATTTTTCAGAGAATCTCTGGAAACTTCTGATTACGGAAACTGATAAATATTATCCGATTTGTAAAATTTGGGGATTTTTTACACCTGTTGTATCTATCCGTGATCCGAATGATATGGAGGTAATAAAATAAAAAAGTATTCATGAAAACCGCTTACTTAAAAGTGATAAAATGTCTGAGTTGTTTTAAGTATACATTAATTAATATCTTCATTAAAATTAAATTAAATAATATTTAATTCAGTATCTGTAATTTCAGGCAATATTAAATAATATGAAACATATCAATAAGAGTATGATTTATGATGTTTTACTTCCTTGGTTCAATACGGGTCTTCTCACTAGTGGAGGTAAAATAATGTGTGTGAGATTAAAAAATATAACATCTGTAATGTATATGTGTTTTATTATTATATTCTGCTCTAATTATAGAAAATTCCAATTACATAAACAATTAAAACTTTGCAACTAAGCCAAATATTATTTTAAATAACAACCTTTTTTTATTACAATTTATTCAGTAAATATATGTGTAGTGTAGGTGTATTTAGTAAAGAGAATATGTATGTACAGAAATACATTCTTACACTGAAAAAAAAGATTAGCTGCTGCAACAAATTAGATGGTAAAATATGGCCTAGCATTTTTAATTGTCTGCAACAGCCAATTTTTTGTTACAGCAGCAAATTTTTGGTTGCTTTAGCCTATCTGCAATGTTAGTATAAGATTTCGATAAGCTAATGAAACCAAAAATTGGTTGCTGCAACCAATTAAAAATGCTATGCCATATTCAGCTAATCTTTTCTTTCAGTGTACCAATAATTTTGTCATAGTTTTACATATAATCTCAATTATGCAAAAATAATCAAACTCATATCACAGATCCTTTTTTTGTATAATAAATTTTATTTTTGTCATTGATAAAACTTTAATTATGTGATATCAATAATGTATAATACATAAATCTCTATTGACCAAGTATTCTAAAAAAATAATAAAATTATTTAAAAAATTCTTTGTTTATTAGTACGTTTATTAAATAACGGAGAAATTTCATCAGAACGCATGAAAGAAGAGAAAAACCTAAAATAACTAATGCTAAGTAAAAATTAATTAATTAGAAATAATGTTAGGAAGCAAAAGGTTTTATATAGCAGCATATATGTATGTTCATATTTTATATACAGATATATGTATAGTTTAACTATATAATTTTTTATTTTATCCTCTCTGTTTTAGGGGCTAAATGGCAATTTCGTCGAAAGATAATAACTCCAGCATTTCATTTTAATATACTGCAGCATTTTGTTGAGATTTTGATCGAGGAGGGCGAAAATATGACAAAATCTTTGAAGAATACAGGAGGCATTATTGTAAAAGATTTAATACCGTTTATTAGTGAACATACACTGAATGCAATGTGCGGTATTGTATCTCATTTAATAACTGTATATATTTAAGACTTTATTCCGGAAAAAGATAAAACACGAAATATTAATTAATAAATATAATGCGAAACATTAATATATAAATTATATAATATATTATAGGACCGTATGTGTATGATAACACAAAATATAGAAATCAAAGTCTTAAACGGTCTAGTTGGATCTTAAATGCTTGTATAATTCTTGAGTGAATTTATATAGGGTAAGTTGGGGGAATATGCCAGTTGGAGGAATGTGTCACTCGTTGTATTTAACAATGATACCGATTAGCAGCGCTTGCATTAATGACATAGAATTATTTACAGTTGTGTGCTTAACGTGTTGCATAAGTATCAAGAATTTCCTTGCAATAGTATTGTTTTTATGAGGTAAATATGACAGCATGGTATACGAAAATGTAGGTGCTTCTTATTATAACTTTTACAGTGCTTTATGTAAGTTATTATTTAAACATTACACAAAAAATATTTATTTGCTCGATTAGTTTGTTAATCTATTAGTGTAGGTTAAAATGAAAATATTCAGTACATCGTTGATTCATTTTCTTAAAAAGTAGTGGCATATTGCCCAAGACGTCATTTCATCTTATGATGAGCCTGTACAGTATGACTGTACAGGCTCATCATAAGATGAAATGACGTCTTGGGCAATATGCCACTACTTTCGTTAGAGTAAAACGCCAATAGTCATTTTCTCTAATATATAGGTTAGCGCGCTATAAACAAATGTTTTACCGCATAATTCCGTTGTGACAGGATATTAGTATTGACAAGTACTTAATAAATAAACTTAAATGTTTATTTATTTGCTTATTATTGTATTATATTAATTTACTGCTCAATTCAAAATTCTGAATAGAGAATACAGTTTTTTAATCCATTTTAATAAATTAATTTTCTTGATTACTGGAACTTAGACTACTTGTAACACTATGTAAATATAAAGTAAAACAAATATTTATTTATACGTTTCATACTTACACATTACATACTTTTACTTTTAAAAATGGCCCAAAATGTAATTGGATAATATCTAATTGTTGCAGTAGATTCACGAGGACTGTTCGTAGAAAGATATATTTATGCTATTAAAAACGTGTCTCAAAGTTTATTTTACATGTTGTATATAACTTAATCTATCGAAGTTATTATTTATACTCTTATATTGTTTATATTACCTACATTATATTACAAATGTTTATTTTCATCACAAAAGTCATAAATAATGTGTTCTTGCAATAAAAAAAAAACAAAATAAATGTTATACTTAGTATTTTTTTGTATGTGGCATATTACCCTCACGGTGGCATATTACCCATTTTTGAGCACTTTCGTATTTCTTTATTTTTAATAACAAAAAATGAATATATTCGATTCCAATATACATATACATAAATAATAGATAAAGGATGGACGAAAAAGATCAGTATGTAAAGTTATTTTAATTTGAACAAATAATTATTAAAAAATATAATTTCGCTTAAGTGTGACATATTCCCCCAACTACGTATGTAAGCCTACCCTTCATATGCCAATTATTGCGAGGAATATTACTAAGGCCTTGGTAGTCTAAAGGCTTAGGACGCTCGCACGGAATGCAAGAGATCCGGGTTCGATTCCCGGCCAAGGTAATATTTTTTGCGATATGAATTAATTATTTACAGATCTTAATATGTCACTCAACATTATTAAGATCGTTTCGAAGATGCGAATAAGAATAAAAAATTTGCTAAATTGGTAGTCAATTTAACTCGTGATATTACTGCTGTAGTTTAGTAGAGATACCGTTTTCAAAACCGAAAAATCATTTCGGCGTGCGTTTCTGGAGACTACATACGTAGTAAGTATATAAATTCACACAAGAACCATACAAGCATTTAAGATCCAACTAGACCGTTTAAGGCTTTGAAATATATAAATCAATATAATAATAATATCTATTTATTACAAGATAAGATATTATTAAAATAATTGATTACATATAATATCTTAACAAATATATTTGCAAAATTTTAACAAATTGCATGTGCAGAAACTGCCATGGGCACTTCTCTACGAGGCCAAGGTGCGTACCAACAACGATATCGAAAAGCGGTTCATCAAATGGGTGAAATTATCATATATAGGTAACTTACATGTAAATATTATGAACAATTGCGATATCTTGGTAAACACTTGGTCCAATTAGTTTCATACTGGTTAAAACATTTTTTAGGTATAACTCAGAATAAATATATAAAATAGCAACTTGAACATTAAAATTAAAAAATATATAAAAAATTAATAATTTAGGTAAAAGAAACATCTGATTTTTATCAATTACTTCAATTACTACGTAAACTAAAAGAACACCACGTAATACTTAATTTTTAATTTTATTTTTGATGTGTAAAAATAAATGTATTCAGCTAAAGACAGATTATCATATTCAGTAGTCTATGGGCCACTTTCACCATCGTCGGTTTACTTAACCAGTCTAGTAATTGTAATGAAATAGAAAGAGATAGAACTATTTCTATCTCTTTCTATTTCATTACAGTTACTAGGCTGGTTAAGTTAACTGAGCTTGGTGAAAGTGGCCCTATATCTCTGCGCAATCTTACGCAAGTATAGATGAGTCCATACACAGAGAGAATTTTTTCTTAGAATTTACCCTGAAAATATGACAATCGTGGGACAACATTGTATTTCGAAGAATTTTAATATAAATCTCTCTCATTCATTAATAAAACTACAATAAAGTATAAAATAAGTTTGATCAATTTTACTGAAGTGCATGGTAAAAATCTTTAAAATATTGTATTATACCACAATCACCATATTTTCAGGGTAAATTTTAAAAGAAAATTCTCTCCGCGTGATATGCGTTTCAGTTACTGAGATATTGTTTCAGTTGAGAACTTCAGTTGTGAGATATTTGCATGTCCCAACTTGCCCCTTGTGTGTGTATGGTTCAACTATCCCTGTTTTATTCTAACGTGTATGATTTATCAAATTGTTTACAGCTTTTGAAATGTTAAACGTTTAGATAACATGACGTAAAAAAATGCGTAAAATAAAAAATATTTATCCAATTGCATTTTTATCCAATTATAACAAAATTGTCTTAAAAAGATACAATAATTATATAAAGCATTTGATATATCCTATTAACATGAATTTAATTATTAATTAAAAATTTTTCAAGTAGTTGTAATGCTATTAGAATTGATAATAAAATTAAAGACAGCTTTCACAAAATACAATCATCTTTTTAAAATAGCATATTTATCATTCAATAATTATGATTTAGATTAATGAGGCAGTGGCTGCGACACAATTGGCTCTTCTCATTGATGCCAAAAGGCAAAAAACAAGCAAAGATTTTGAGGATACTACACGGATTTACTGAACGAGTATATTAAAATAATTTTTTTTAATGTTTGCTTAAACTCATATTACATAAAATTATATTATAAAAATTCCATAAGTTTGATATGAAATTGTTATATAAAATTTTATATATTTTTAGTGTATTTATATTGATCAGAAAAAATTGTGATGGCTCCTTTTGTCTACAAATCGATTGCCTACAGCATCGTTTACCTGCATCACTTTTGTCGACAATTCATTTGTGCTAAAAAATTATTCTCTACGGTTCGATTACCTATAAGCACTTTTGCGCACAATAATCGTAAGCAATTATTATGTAAGTAATAATACATGTAGACAATAATACAATACATGTAAGCAAACGTGACTTCATTTCTGAAATTTTTACTTGTACGCAAAAATGCATGTAAGCAATCGAGCTGTAGACAATAATTTTTGTGCGTAAACAAACTGTCGGCAAAAGTAATGTAGGCAATCGATTTGTAACCAAACAGAATCCTCCCAAAAAGATTAATATGATGATTGTATAGATTATTGCGGAAAGAAAACTTTATCAAGAATGTACCAATGATCAATACTTAAAAGATTTTGATAGTAACACAATGACAGAGATAAGTGATGTAGAAACGATTAAAAGTACGTATAATTATTAGAATCTATTCTGTAATTTCGATTGGCATGTAATATTATAAATTATTTTTTTATATATTATTAATTATAATGAAATTTAAATTTTAAACAAAATTAAATCATTTAATAAAAATATCATAGAATTATATAATATTAGAGATTAACATTAACATGTTTATACATTTTAATTTATACATTTTAGTTCGGAAAAACCGACTTGCATTATTGGATCTTTTAATAGCAGCGTCTCGAAAAGGTCTCTTAACTGATTTAGATATCAGAGAAGAAGTGGATACTTTTATGTTTGAGGTATTTTATATACATGATGTGGTTAAAAAATGTTTTTACACTGAATGTTTTTCTGCTAACGTAGCAACACTGTAGATTTCTGCAGTGGTGTGGTACACGAAGTTTAATGAACACGTTCAGTACAATTTTGTCACTAACTTATGCAGATTTGACAACAAATATAAGAGAGTGCAGTTTTTTTGCACCGTTCGAATAGAGCGTGATATTTTGACAAAACAGAAAATCAAATTCCTTGTGAAATTCGAGAAGAATAAGCCAGAAATTCATCAAATATTATAGACGGTCTGATCATAAATTTCTATCCAATTCTTTCCCTATTTCATAAGAAATTTGATTCTCTGTTTTGTCAAAACATCACGTTCTATTCTAACGGTGCAAAAAAATTATTCTCACAATTATTGACACAAAAACCTGCAAGTATTAGTGATCAAAATTGTATTGAACGTGTTCATTAGACTTTCTATTACATGCCACGCCACTGTAGCAACCTACAGTATTGCTACGTTGGCAGAAAAAATTCAGTTCACGAAATTTTTGTTTATTATGTATTTAGAACCTTTTCTAAATTTTTCTATTCATTATTTACACATGTAATGATACATATAATGTAATTATAGGGTCATGATACTGTAGCAAAGAGTATATGTTTTACTCTTTTATTACTAGCTGAACATAAGAACATTCAGGTATCTTTCGTTAAATGAGCATTGTATGTAGACAGAATTTTTTTCAATTAACAAAATTAACAATATCGATACACAGAATCGTGTCAGAGATGAAATCAGGACTGCTATGGAAGAGAATGGACAGAAATTTACTATAAATATATTGCAAAACTTATCATATTTAGATAGATGTATAAAAGAAGCATTGCGTTTGTATCCCAGCGTCTATTTTATATCACGAATTACATCGGAAGACGTCAAATTAAGTATGTAATTAATATTTCGTATATATATTTTTTAACATACTACAATGTAAAATAAATATAGGAATGTTATAAAATTTAACCCTTACCGTACCATCAACAATTTGGTGCCTCATCCATACCATCAAGAGTCACTTCAAATCTCTTTTGTTTTTTCACCTCTTCAAAATAATCATAAAAATCTTTAAAAATTTACCAACATACTTTCAACTTTCTAGAATAAATATTGACTCTTTATTTTGGAAAATAATAAAATGTAGTATAATTTATAATTACCGAAAGATTCAAAGAAACTTGCACGAACAGGAATCGCTCAGTCACTAGTTACACATATTAGTACGGTAAGGGTTAATATAAATATTTATAAAATACAATATTATAATAGCTAATATTACAATACTTTTTGCTGAAAAAAAATTTAATTTTTTTTTATTTTAATGAGATATATGCATTCTATTTAATATTTTCTAAATTAATAAAAAAATATACTTTACAGAGTCATATATAATACCCGCTAAAACAAATGTGCATCTTAATATCTATGGACTCCACAGGGATCCCAATTTTTGGCCAAATCCAGAGATATTTAATCCAGATAGATTTTTGTTAGATAAAATTCGAAATCGTCATCCTTACTCATATTTACCATTCAGTGCTGGACCACGTAATTGTATTGGTAAGTTAGATCTTTGATATTTTTTCATATAAACAATTAATTTGAGATATATAACAAATTGCAGGCCAACGATTCGCTCTGCTGGAGATGAAAGCAATGATAGCCTCTCTGATTCATAATTTCTACTTGGAGCCCATTGATTACTTAAAGGACTTGCGAATGGAAGTTGATTTAGTGCTGCATCCTGCTCATCCACTTCGTGTTAAATTTGTTCCCGTTAAAATGCATGCAACTATTTAACGCGAATGCATCCTTTAAGAGGCCTGTGACAAAAATTAAAAAATTGTTAAGTATGTTATAACTTATTTATATATACATACATATTTTTTTTCACCCGCTTATGTATAAAGATTATAATATCATATTATCACGTGCTATTTATAAATTTGATATTTATCAAAATTGGTTACTGCGACAATATTAATTTGTTGAATTTATTAACTAAACTGATCATTTAATGGTACAAAACTCTTTTGTATGATGTTTATAGATCTTTTGTAATTAGAAATAGAACATTTTGTTACCGGAACAAAATGAATAATACATAAGTATCTCTCACTTTTTACAGAGTGATTATGTTTGGCGTTTTTGAATTTCCTTAGCTTAGCAAAAATATATATAGATTTAGAGCAATTGAGATTATTAATCGCTCTGAAAAAATAGTTACCATGATTGATTATGATGTGGCGAGAACCGAGAAGTCCACGAGGTTCGTCTCTAATCGTCTCGGCTTTATAGAGGTAAACGTTGAATTTTTCTTACGTTTAATTTTTCTTCAGTTTTCTGAGGAGACACGCCATCTGTGATAGTTCCGCGAAACACTCCTTGCTCTACCATAGTGGATTATTTTGTTGAAATTACACTAAAAGAATACTTATTTTGTAATAGTAACCAAATTTTACATTGTTATTTACAAAACGTAAGTAACCAAATAAATTTTTATTGTTAAATAAAAAAATTTTGTTCATCTAACAAAAAAATATTGTATTTTGTTATTTTAACAAAGTAATCCAATAATAATCGGCCATTTGTGAATAATTCTCTTTTTTTGTTACTATTACTATATCTTTTTTCTCACATTGTACTCACAGCCGGCACAACCGAGGACTGTTACAAATTCATAAAAAATTAATCTGCAAAATAAGAGGAATTTATGTATGTACTATTTATACATTTTTACATCATTTATTTATATATTTTATTTCTTTATTTAATGCTTATTATATATATTTGCCTTTCTATTATTTACAAAAAAACTCATATATTTCAGATGAAAAGAAATTTCATATTGTAAACGTATCAATATTCACTGTGTTGATTTGACTGTAAAAAAATCAAAACGAAAGTAATTTAAACATATAAGCATAAAAAACGTTCCATATCTTTGCGTGTTGTTCAGTTATTGCAAATAAAATTATCAATTCGAACACAAATTATGACATACATTCCGCTTAATTACACGGTTTAAAAGAACCAACTGATTTCGTCAATCGTTGCTTTGTGTATGCATTGACGTGATTATGTTATATATCAAATGTAGATAAACAATTTCACGTTTAAAAATAAAAGCAGAAACAACTTCTTTGGTAAAATTTTTATACAATTTCGATACGAATTTCTATTTTAGAGACTGTTGATTATTTAACTGAACACTAGATGCAGGTTAATTTGATGAGTCACATCCTGTTTATTCGATTCGTCTACGGTTTGTGCCAGTCATTAAATTAAGAGGTATAGCAAATACAATTTTAAAAACATAAGACATAAAAACATAAGAAATGTTGCAAAGAAACATTATATGCATATGTATGTGTACAAAGATAAAAAATGTTATATGCATATGTATTATATATTATAAACTGTATGTTAGATATACATTATAAGACAATACATAAAATATATGTTTCGCATATATATGCATATATATACTTTTTTTATTTAAACCGAACTATGCTAAGTATCGAAATATGCTAAGTACAGATGTGATTTCTTAAGAGTAATATAAAAGTATTTTGTTTATGAGCAAAAATTATTCAAGCGTGGCAAAATCACGAGTCGCCCTTAAATATGTGAGAGATTATTTTATTTTTTCAAACTTGATTTGCATGAATTCATTAAACGATTAAGATTGTACCCGAAATAGAATCTTATTAATACTATCCCACACTGAAAGAAAAGATTAGCTGCTGCAGCAAATTAGATGGTAAAATATGGCATAGCATTTTTAGTTGACTGCAACAGCCAATTTTTGGTTGCTGCAGGTAATTTTTAGTTGTGTTAGTCTATCTACAATGTCAGTATTGGATTTTGATTGTCTTGTGCCCATTTCCACCAATGTAGATTAACTTTAATCTTGGTTCAAGCTTATGAAAAAATAAAATAATCTCTCACATTTAAGAGCGACTCGTGATTTTGCCATGCTTGAATAATTTTTGCTCATAAACAAAATACTTTTATATTACTCTTAAGAAATCACATCTGTGCTTAGCATATTTCGATACTTAGTTCGGTTTAAATAAGAAAAGTATATATATGCATATGCGAAACATATATTTTATATATTGTCTTATAATGTATATCTAACATACAGTTTATAATACATAATACATATGTATATAACATTTTTTATCTTTGTACATATACATTGTGGGAAATATTATTGATTAATCACAGCATATGATGTAATAAAGACCTCTCATAAATAGCATGGTTTCAATGTCGGCGTTTATCCTTGCGTTTACTCCATTTGCAAACGTGACATGAAGATGTCTTATTTGTTAAATTCCACCTTACGTTGTCAGATATGACGTAGCAGTTATCGAATTACATTTATAAGAAGTTACTGCGTCTGTTTAAATCAAAGATGTGATGGCAGTAATTCTGTTACTATGGTTTGCTAAAGTTATGATAAAGTGCTCTCAGTTATAATTTTACTATTTATATAATTTTATGAATGAATTATTGAATAATTTATAAAATTAGGTTGTAAAGTGTAATATAAATGTCTAAAAGAATTTCTAGAAACATAAGTATTTAAACAAGTTTAAAAAACAAACAAATATTTAAATAAAAGTGTCAGTAATAGTAACTTAGAAATACTTCGTATATTAAGGTAAGTTATATATTATTTATTTTTTATTCAATATTGCATTATAATATAAGTATAAATCGTTGAAGGAAAAATTTAAACTTGTTTTAATTATGACTTAATTTAACCATAGATCAAGTTTGGCATAAACATCTTCACATAAAACATAATCTTCAAAAATTATACGATATTTAATTATTTTAATAACACAGTTTTTAGACAGAATCATTTTGGAATATAAATATTGTTATGCTATATGGTTATATTTTATAGAATAATATTGCATACTTATGCATTAAAATAGGAAAAAAATACATGTAAGAAATTTTCTTATATTCATTTTTTTCCGTTAGTAGTGCACGTTTTTCAATTAATTATATGATTCACATACAGAATCTTTGTGTTACTGTTAGTTCCTAGAGTCTCTATAAGAGAATCGCCTCAATGTGAAGTAAAATGGCGTCTAACAGGAACTCTATTAGAGAAGGGTTCTAGACCTCTCTACTACGTAGAGCATAGAATTATGGTGGAAGCTTTGATTAATAAAGTAATGAAATTATTTTAGATGTATGAAAATTATAAATAGGTAAGCTTATACATTATTATAAAGGTTTCGAATTAAAAATATATAAAAGATACAGATATTATGTGGTAGGAAAGCGTCGAAAGTGACACTCCAACTTGTCATCAATCATGTAATTTTAACATTTTCTTCGCAGAAAACATGACTAAAACATGATTGAAACATATTGTCAAAAAGGGTTTAAAATTACCAGTATATAGCGGTTTGACGATGGCAAGACATTTTATTGTAAAATAAAAATATTGTTAAATGAAAGTGTTATTTCATTACTGTTTCGTATTATCACTATTTCAATTTTAAAAGTGTAAAACTAGTTCAGCTATAGAAAACAGATCTATTTCTATCAATATTTTATAATTTAACATAAATTCTACTTGTCAATATTTTTTATGGTTGTCCCAAAATATAACTAAAATTATAGTCACTTGAATCATTTTTATGGTAATTTCAACTATTTTATGGTTATAATAACTATAATTATATATATAGTCATTTTAGGTTGCCAACTATGTACATTTGTTGCTAGAACTATATGCATAGTTACTGTTATTATTATTATAGCAGTAATAATCATAATTATAGTAATATATTATAATTATAGTAGTATTACAAATACAAAACATTTTTCTCTCAGTGTTGTAGACAGATAGAACAGATAAAACTAAATGGAAAAGTTCTTTGGGAATTTGCAAGTTTCTTTGTAACAAGTAATGAGAAATTAATTAATAAAAATCCATAAATCTTAGTGTCATATAATTTGATGAAAGAGACAGATTAGCGTTTTCGGTTGCTATATGACATGTGGTAAAGCATTGGGAAAAGCGCTCTACAAACAATAACGGCTAGACATGTGTAAAGTGGAAATCATACTATTTACAGAAGGTAAATAATATTTTCTATACCGTAAGATTATTCTCTGTTAAAAAACGTTGGAAACGCGAGGACTAAGGATTAAGCGTCGTTCACGTGTAACTGTTTGAGCGCTCCTTTCAATGCATCGTTGCAACCGAAAATGCTGAGCTGTCTCTTTTTATCGAATTGCTCAAACATCAGCAAATTAATGTTTGCAAATATTTATTAACAATTTCTCATTAATTATTAAGAAACTCGCAAAATAATGAAAGATTTTATTATTCAATTTAATTCGCTTTACTTGCCTATATGAGAAGTAGCATAATAATTATATGTCAAACAAGATCACCTATATCGACACATCACTTTTTCTTTGAATAATATTTCTTATATACAAAAGCTAAAAATAAAACTTTAGAAACATAAATACAAACTAGAAAGTGTTTCCTATCAAATAATATAGCAATTTTTATAATGCTATTTGTAATTTTGCAATAATTAACTTTTTCGCAAGATAAGCAGAAATTAACGTCTGACATAAGTGTCCCAAAATTAAGTGCATAGTAGGCAGTACTGCCACATTCTTTTTCTCTCTAATTCTTTTTCTCTCGCAGGAGTCTGTACAAAATATCTACAAGTAAATGTATATAAAAATTTTTAGAATTTTTTGGCTTTGATATAAAATATTTTTTGTTGATTTATATGTATACTTTATACTGTTTTCTGCAAAAAAGATGCAAATATTTAACGCGCAGTTTATATTTAACGCGCAGTTTATTTTCTTAAGGATTTTCCCATAAATGAACGATTGCCTTCAACTCCGATAAGGCAATTTGACATTATAAGGCAACATATAAAACAACTTATGATCTGTCTTACAGACAGGTGTGCCGATTTTTACGCTGCAACCCGATTTTATATTTAAAATTGTAGGGTAAACTAGGGTATTATGGCCATACGGAAAAGATGACCATAGGCCATAATTTCTCCAATAATTGATAAATAATGCATTTTTATAGTCATTCTTAAAGATAATCAATATTTACAGTAGTTCATATGAGTACACTGTGTCCAAAATAACAATATTATAAATATTATCTAATATTTTTTCTTTCGACTATCTGCAAAGTTTTGCACGTGTCTGCTAAAAACTGTTATAATGTCTAATAAATTACAGTTAAGCTCCATAATCAACATTACATACACAATAAAGGTACGTAAATTGCAATGTGACCTATAATTAATATTTTTATTTTTACTATTTATTTATAAATACTATGGCTCTCCCATCTTTTCCCTAAACATCAGATAAGATGGCCAATGCATACTTTGTAAAATTTTGATAAAATTAAAGTTCTGTTAAGTATTTTCTCTTTAATTTCGATAGTATTTGTTACTTTAAGCTTCAGTGAAAGTAATATCCCAAATATTGTTAAAAAGTAACAAGAATAAATGTATGTTTTTTGCATTTTAAAAAACTATGGCCATATACCCGAGTTTACCCTATAATAAAAAAAAATAAGAAAAAATATAAATAAAACTGATTTAGGAAATTACAAACATGTAAAACGATGTAATATTATAAATAATATAGCCACTATTATTTATTTAACTACACAATTTGCCAAAGAAAATGTAAGAATTTTATTTTCGCGTTTGTAGAATTCGTTTTTACTTCTTTAATTATTTAAACAGATCAATGTGTTTATCAATAATGTGCGATAGATAATTTCCGAGAAATAATAGGGCATCTTATTAGAAGATCTATGTCAATATCAGCGATCTCCCCCTCTCTCCCCCCCCCCTCTCTACCCTTTCTCTACTTATATGTATATATAGGGTGTTTGGTAAGTTTTGATAAAGCGCTCGTGAGCAGATAGACTGGACTAAACTGAGTCAAAAAGTTCTTTACTATTTTGCAATTTTTACAATAGTTGACAAAATATTAATTACTAAAAATCATCGAATATTGGTTTTCAATAATTTTTTACTCGAGTAGGGGAGATCGGAGTCAGTAGATTATAAGGGATAAGTAGAATAATCGAAGCTACATTAAAAACGAAACACACAAGACGCGTATCTAAGCACGTATCTAAGTGACTGTCGCTCAGTCTGCTGTAACATCTCGTTGCGAATACATCTCTGATAGAAGTTACGCTACAATTTTACACTAGTAAGTATTTTTATTCTTAAAGCTTTTGTTTTACAATCGTATATAATCGAGATATTTGATTTCTATTTAGATAATAAGTGTAGTTCTTACTTAATAAAGTCCAACAGATTTTTTTTGTTTATGTGTCTTTGTTATCGTATATTGTTAATGTTTTTAAAAAATGAACGGATGGCCCGGGTTCACAAGTCGATTTGAAATCGATTGATTTTTAGGACCGTTTTATTTGATATCTACTACATGTTCTATTGATCTTCGAAAGAATTTTATCGATGCTGCGTTGATAAAACGTCGATCTTCTCGATGCAGCGTTGATAAAATATCGATCTTCTTCGAAGAATAGAAAATATAGTCGATATCAAATCATCCGAAAAATAAATTAATAGATATTAACTTGATTTCGACTTACGAACCAGGGGGGGGAGGGGGGTAGTAGACTAATCACAGCATGGGATTGTATGACTCATTTTATAACGACTCTTGTAATACTTACTCAAAATTTTATTCCTTTAAAGAGATTTTTCTCAGTGGTAAATGTTATAAGTTTAGTTCCCTCATGTTTAATCTCGATATAACTAGGCTCATTTGACGTGTTTTTGTACGAAATGAACAAATTTTGTAAAAAGAAGCATTGTTCTATCCTGCAAAGCGAATGTTTGTGTTTAAAATATATTTTTATAAAAGTTTTATTAATATGTAGCCAAAGATGTAGCTTAAAATACATTAATCTTCATTTTAATAATCTTAGTCAAAATATCCCGGTTCCGGAGCTAGTTGAATCAGATGGAATGCATTAGAAAAATGTATTTTTTTCATATTAGTTATCAGTTTCCCCTTATTATTACAGTCTATCTAGTAAAAGCGTGGCAGGGCTTACTCACAGTCGATTAAAGATATATTTGGGGTTTCTGTTTTCGCCGATAATCACCTTTGCGCTGCATGCATTATAAGCAAAGTACCCGTTGCTGTTGGAATTTTGTTAGAATAAACAGTTTTCAAAATGAGTGCTGTCTATGCGTCTCGTTTCGAAGCAGCGTGTTCTTATGTTCTCATCCAAAAGGACCAAAAATGTCACAATCCGCTGCGGCCAGATATGGGAAATCAGGGTCGTTTGTGCAACGTTAGAGACAAAAACCGTTTAGAAACAAAAACCGTTGATGATTTATACCTGAACGTGACCTGTACTGACAGAGACAAAAAAACAATTGTGCGAAGATTTTATCTGTTTACTGCTAACCAGAATGCTGAGAAAATGTTATAAATAGCCTCTGGCCTTCACAATCACCTGATGCGAATTCCATTCCAATTAAAAATGTGTGGTCATCAAGAGGAAGCTTCGTAGAAGACCGATATCAACTTCAAAGCGAAATTCAACAAATCTGGAGGTCTGCGATCACACGAATATGCGATTTCTTTAATGGAAAGTATGTCATCTATTATAGACGCAGGTATATAGCGACTGGACTCTTTATTAATGTAATTAAATGCATTTTGGCCATAAAATACTGAATACAATCAATATAAATTCAGGGCTAATAAACCATTTTTCTTTCAGATAATCTGCCACGATTTTACTAGACAGACTGTAAAATATTATTAGGTAGTCAAATATATGTAGTAACTGACGTAGAATTCATTTTTTCGATAAGTCTTTTAATTTCCTTTGTAAAAATTCGAAACTGAAAAATAAGTCTACTAGCCCCGGTTTCTCCTAGTATAAACTTTATAGAAAAATAGCAAGTAATAAAAATTGTTTATTTTCTTTTCAGAGAGTTCTGAGAATTTTTTCAGAATTTTTTATTAACTTCTTAGTACCGCATTTTCTCATGTTGGTAAGAATATAGTTGCCAATATATAAGAAAATATAGTACTAAAAAGTTAATAAAAAATTCTGAAAAAATTCTCGGAACTCTCTGAGAAGAAGATAAATAATTTCTGTCACTTGCTATTTTTCTATAAAGTTTATAATACTCGAGTAAAAAGTTATTCAAAACCAATATTCGATGATTTTTAATAATTAATATCTCATTAACATACTATTGTGAAAATTGTAAAATGATAGACTTTTGACTGAGTTTAGTCCGCTCTACCTGCTCAGGAGGCCTTTGTTAGAATCTAAGCTATTTATAGAACTCATATACATATATACAGGTTGTCTGGTGAGTTTTGACAAAGCCCTCCTGGGCAGGTAGAGCGGACTAAACTGAGTCAAAAAGTCCTATCATTTTACAATTTTCACAATTAATGATCTAAGCCTTAGATAATTAATTTTACATAAACTGTCTATATATAACTCATTTTTTATGTACAATTAATATAATAGAATAATTTTACATTTTTTACAGGACGTTATATCACGTACCTTGAGTTGAAAAAACTAAAAGAAGAAAGTTAAAAATATTTCTAAATCATACAAAATGATTATCACTTTATTTCTAATCAGTACTCTTCTTATAATGTTATATAAACTCTTTTATTTTGTAAAATTCGTGAAACAGATTAATAATATACCAAGTATACCATCATTACCATTGATCGGCCACATGCTAAATTTGTGGGGTTCACAAGGCAAGTAAAACTTATTGACAATCTTTATTTTACTTAATATGCAAAGAATATTAGAAACATTTATAGTTATTAATCCATTTTTATTTTTATGCAAGTATTTATTAATTTTAATTTTTAATTAATTTTTTGTTCCAAATGTACTTAAATACCAAAAAGTTAATATTATAATTAGATCGTAGATATTGGTAACGTAAAATACATTCTTCTTAATATAAATTCTCTTAAAAACGTATAAATAAAGTAAACATTAAAAATTAATATAAATTTGATTAATATGCACGCAAAAAATGATTACCCACGAATAATCTGAAATTTATGTCATTTGCTTTTTTAAATTGTATATTTTTCATATTTTAGAAAATCTATGGAAGCTTCAACGTCAACTTTGTAAAGATTATTATCCAATTTATAAACTTTGGTGCGGACCAATTGCGTTCGTCAGCATTCATCATCCAGATGATCTAGAGGTAAAAAAAGTATTAGAAAACAAATTAATCTTCATATTACGTAATTTGTGTTGACAAAAACTAAAAGGAAAAATAAAAGTTGAAGATATTTTTAAATCATACAAAATGATTATGATTTAATTTCTATCGTCATAATATTATATAAATCTCTTTCAGTTTACAAAATTTGTGATAATATAATAAAGGAGGACTGATAATATAATAGAGGAGAAGGTGGTAATCTCAATTTCAATCTCTGCAATTGATGACTTGCCATTAGGCTTCGGCTGGAGTGAACGTAATTCTCGCTTGTATATCATTTTTAACTTTTCAAAATTTCTGCAGAGTTCTTGTGTATTTGATTTCATTACAAATGTGAAAGTTAGAGGTATCTTGTTCCTAGCGATTTTTAATTCCCGTGTACGGAAAAAAGTTACTATTGCAGTATAGCGCGGCAAGGAATTCCGCTGCAGATGCTTAAGGTCCTTATTAGATGTAGGTACGTTTCTTCTCAAATCGACAACGGATGCTCAAGGATTCTTCCTTTTATCTGATTAATTTACTCAGTGTAACTATTAATTTTTTTGATCTAGTTTACGTTGTTCACTCCGGCCTAGCGGCAAGCCATCATAGAGATTGCAATTAAGATTGCGTTCTGTTATTCATTATGAGAAAATTAAAAATTTACGTTACATATACTTTACAAGCTAAAAATTTAACACCCCTAAAAATTTAAATTACAGAGAAAAGTTTGGTCGGTGATTGAAAACAGAATCCCCTACATTAACTTAACCTCGACGAATATTAAATCTCTCTGGTTAAACGCTACCAACGCTACGCTATGATCATTCATGGAGTTTGCTAACGCTATCGCGCTATTGGCTCCACGAACAGCGTTGGTAGTGTTTGCATCCATAGCGCGAATAGTGTCTCCTCGAACGCACCTATTACCTTGGAAGAGATAGCGCGCAGTTGTGACGTAACACGCTACCATTAGTGACGTCATGATCGTGTTTGTTGGCGCTATCTGCAGCTTCGCGAACAATTTGTAGCACTAAATAGCGCGAATAGCGTCTCCCCGAACGCACCTTTAGAGTGACGCCCGTTCGATCACTTTGCGATTGACCACCAGCCACTCACAGCGCTCGTACAATTGCACGCGAAATACACTGCCAGTACTGAAAATCTATAGTATACGTAACATGCACTAGATTTTCAGTACTAGGTCACATGGTCAAAATTGGTGAATATCAAGCGTCAATTTTGATCATGTGGCCTGTTTTGAAATGTGGCTAAAAATGAGCCGCGCGTTAGCATGATAAAGCCTGTTACACAATACGTCGTATGTCGGTGTCGTGAGCAGTATGCCGCAAGAATGAACCTATCACAGTCGAGTATTCTCCTCACTTTTGACTTGATTGGGCAATTCTTACAACTACAACCACTTACAACTACGCTTACAACGACTATTGTAGAATAGGCTTAAGACACCTTAATGCTACGCAACGGCATGGTGGGGGGCATATGTACATTCTAAATTTCTTGCAGTGAAATCTCACTTCAAGAGAGTGAAAATGCAATCACCTTTGAAAAAAAGTGAAAATATTTCACTTCTTGAAAAAAAAGTGACGATCTTCACTCTTTTTAGAGTGAAATCTTACTTTTTTGGAGAAAAATGAGATTTCACTTTTTTGAAATGAAAATTTACTCTAAAAAGAGTGAAGATCGTCACTCTTTTTTCAAGAAGTGAAATACTTTCACTTTTTTTCAAGGGTGGTTGCATTTTCACTTTCTTGGAGTAAGATTTCACTGTAGGAAATTTAGAGTGTATATATTTTGAATGCGATTTTCAACATTTTAGCATCAATATGAAATTAATATTTGCAAATGATTCAGCACATCAAAAAATCTTAAAAATGTATAAAAAGGTTCCATCGCTTAGGCCAAAATTGGATTATTTTATCCATTGTCCTTTTTATTACAATATTTTTATATGTGTATAATATTAGTGAAATTATCCAGTTAAGAGAGAAATAAGCTAGGTAATTTCGTTAATACGTATACATATAATATATGTACACTTATGATGACAAAATGACGGCATATCTGTGTGTGCGTGTGTGTGTGAGAGAGAGAGACGAGAAATATACGTATTCAGGAAACAAATAACGTTATTTGTTATTTTAACGTCAAAATGACGACAAATATCGTCAGCTTATTTCCTAGATACGTATATTTCTCGTCACATATTATAGATATGCCGTCATTTTGTCGTCATAAGTATCACGTCATCGGTCTGTGACTTATGCACGTCATTATCACTTCGTTTTTGACGTCTTTTATGATGTGACTTTGGTGATATTATTGACTCAAAAAAGACGTCATTTTGATGACAATTTGCTTGGGTTGTGTGCTACTTGAGATTAAGTATTCATAAACAAGTTTGTGCACGCACTACATACCAATTTTTTTATTGTATTATTGATAGAAAATATTATAATTTAATTTGATTCTAATTTTAGAAAGTACTAAGCAATGCAAAGGAGCATCTTTCAAAAGGCTACATATATGATTCTTTAATTCCTTGGTTAGGAACTGGATTACTTACTAGCAAAGGTATCATACAAAATTATGAAATTTCTTAATTGCAATATAAAAAGTTCCAAATAAAGTTTATATAAAAGTTTATGTACAACTTTACATGTGTTCTTTATGTAATATTATTATTAATATATAACATAACAAAAATACAATATAAATGTGTATTTAATGTTATTAATATGTATAAATAAATGCAAAATATTGGAGTTAATAATAATATAAAAAGATAATATAAAAAGAAAATATGTATTAAAATAAAATAAAAAATAAAAATTAAAAATACACAAAATGACAGGGTATTGAAGAGCCAACCGTAGAACTTATTGCGTAAAACAATTTATATATTCTATCAATAATTACATTGTTATTCAAACCTAATCTCGTAAATTCGAACAAGTAGCTGAAATATGTCAAGATTTCAAATTTACGAGATTAGGTTTGAATAACTCAACTCAATGCGATTATTAGGTTATCTTGCCTTGCCCTATATATAGAATACAGGACAAGATAGCCGTTACCGATATACCACTTCGTTTTTCAGATAATACTTCTTAAATATTTAAAAATACACGAAGAAAATTTTATATTTAAAATTACTATAATGTGGTAGTAGCTGCGGTCTTCATGTAAATTATAAGTTTAAATGCTATA